TCTTGGCCTGGGAATTCTTGCAGTCAAACTAATGTTCACGTGTTCCCACTACACAGGTACTCAAGTCACAGTTGCACTTTAGGGTGGGAATTGGTCTTGGTCAGTGTTTTTTCTGTCTGTTTGAAGGATTGTGTTGGGAGCAGCTAAACTGAGTAGTGTCAAGTAAGCTGCCATCTTGCATGTTGCAATGCAAATGTTCTAGCATTTGACTTGTATAAAAATTGGAGGGGGGGGGGGAAGGTGATGGGTAGAGTTGAAGAAGCCTTGGGGCTGGTCAGCAGCAGACTTAATGTCATCACTCTGATACTTTTCTGCTGTAGCATTTGCTATTTTTCAGAGTAATTGGTGGCATAACATAGGTTGACTTCAGGGCTCCTGCTTGCAGAAGCCTGACGATAAAATTACCCCTAATAGATGACGTGGTTTCTGGGTTTGTTGCCTTCCTCTTGAAGCACTGGATGTTTACCAAATTTTAAAGATGGGAGACTCTCACAGGGATGCATTGGAGCCCAAATGGTACCGAGAAACTTGTCCTGCATGCGTGCAGCATTACCTTCAGTGGCAAACTATAATAAATTCTCTGTTGCTTGCTAGCTATAAAGCACATTGTAGGTTAGGTAGGCCTGACGTGGATGTTCTTATGGAGCGCTTCGGGTACACAGTTATTACACGGTTGCATATGTTTTTTGCAGAGGGTTGGATATGCTGATCTGGCAGGTCCCTTCCAATCCTCTGTCTCTGGGAAAACTGTATCTATAATGAGCTTTTTTGCCACTTATTGTTAGTTTATATGTTTACTTGGAAGGAATTCTCTAGTTGAGACTAGAGCCCAATCCTCCTATAGTTAGTCCTAGACAGAGATGAGTATTTTGTGTACTTTGAAAATGTTGTTAGGAGTTAAAAGTATGATGGTGAATTTGAGCCCACAGCCTTGCCAGCATCTGGTGTTTTTTTTTCATTTTTTTTATTTTAGCATTGTTCCTGTATGTCATCTCAGGGAGATTTTAACACGTTTGACTCTAAAGAGAACAAATGCTTTTACATTTTTAATATAAACTTTTGAGTGTTAAAGTGGTGAACAACTTGTTTCCAACCTAATATGGACAGAAATCTTAAAGCAGCTGAAAGTTCTCTGTTTCATAAATGTAATGTGGCTTTTTTTTTTTTATCGCAGGTCTCCAATTGAGAAACATGGCACTGTTTTTCCTGCACTCTACCCACCTATTGCTGGACTTCTGTTGTAACAAGTTGGCAAACACTGGCTGGAACTGGGCTGCAATAAAACATGCCAGTTTTCGATGCTGACAAGAGCCTAACAAGTGCCAACACAAAAAAACAATTACGCATTTTGAAACCTAATGAACTGCTTTAACCTTCAGGAAGAATTGTAAAGATGTGTACATAGCACAACATGATCCGGATAATATATATACTGTTCATGTACATCCACAATACACATTGTACCAAATAATGCTGTCTTGTAGTTAGGATAAGAATCGTGTAAATTCTAAAGATTTTAGCAGGTTTACTTTCCCTATTCATTGTTTCCTATCGGTTTAAAAAAAAACAAAACCAACTCTTGTGAAGCATGTCAAACTAAAACCAATTAGGGTAAAGATTTTTTTTCCCCGTTCTTAATTTTTTCCTTTGAACCATTTTGAGGCTTAATTAAAACCCTCTGCTTATTGAAGTTCAGGGTTTTGTTTTGGCTTTCTTTTGTTTTGGTGGTTTTTCTTGGGTTTTGTTTGGAAATGCACTCCCTTCTCACCCAGCATCTTGGTTTCCGATTTTCTCTAAATAATAAATTTTGGAAGTTTCTAGGATTCGTTACTTGGTTTTTACAATGACCTTTGCGTTGTCAAAGGTGCTTCTCCTGCCCCCTTCCTCCAGCCCCCTCTACCTTTTTTTTGATCCAGTTGCACACAGTTCTTGAATTTGGGTGTAGCAATAAAACTTCTGGCTGTGGAGCACCCTTGAGCCTGCTGTTTTGTTTTTTCAAAGGACTGAGCGTTTTGGTTTGGAAGTCCAGTCAAGTCCAAAATAGGATGATCTGCTTTCTTTTGGTGGCTTTTCTTTTCTTTTTCTTTATTTCTCTCTCTCATTGCCTGGTTTCATTTTTAAGATGGATTAAGAAGCATGCACATCTGTAGGATTTCAAATGAGCAACTTCTGGGTTTGACATAAAGAAATAGCTTTCTTTCTTTATCCCTCTTTTGTGCCCCTCCTTATTTCTTTGCCTTCTATTCTACTGCAAATTTTCCTCACCTAATGTACAAAGAAAATTGCGATGTATATTTTCATGTAATTTGATTTTTTGGAATTCTGTCACCTTCTGTAGTGAGTTCTTCCAAAATATAATTTTTTCCAATAATTTCTGTTGAATTGGCTTGTAGTACCTAAGACTGGGGAGTGTTGGGATTGACTCTGACTCAGATGAGAAGTGACCTAGCTCAGTAGGCATTTCCAGTGTTTGGACTTGGCAGAAATACTTTGGTAATTATATGAAATTTCATACTAGAAGCCCAGAGCTATAATTGGTATTGATAAGGATTTGTTCCCTTTGTTTAAGTACTGTACAAGATGCCTGCACTGAAGAATTAAGTGCCAATTTGAGCTGGATTTCTCTTTTGGGTTAGAGAAACTAATTGAGTTGCTTCCTTCAGTGAAGGGAAACTAACTTCTAAGAGGGCCACACATGATTAAAGGCCTAGACACCAGGTCATACGAGGAGAGGCTGAAGGACTTGGGACTGTTCAGCCTGGAGAAGAGAAGACTCAGAGGGGACTTGGTGGCAGCCTATAAGTAATATTGGGCATACATCAAGGCCTGGGGGGGAGCATCTATTAATCAAAGCCACCCAGGGGATGACGAGAAATAATGGGCACAAGCTGATTTGAGGATTGCTTCAGGCTTGACGAAGGGAAAAACGTTTTTACAAGTAGAGTGCCAAGGGTCTGGAACAGGCTCCTCCCAAAGGTGGTACGGTCATCCACCCTGGCGATCAGAAAACCAGAATGTCTTGATGCCCATTTTGCTGGGTCCATCCGATCCCAGCAGCCTTTCCTGCCTGAGTGCGGGGGGGCTAGACCCGATGATTTGTAAGGTTCCTTCTAGCCCCTAACAACCATGAAACTACCACTCTTGAACCAAGTGGAAATGAACAGTAAAGATCCAGAAAAGAGGAAACGGTAAAAAGTAGCCAGGAATCAAAGTCAGTTTCTCTACATTCAAAGGCAGTAATGTTGCTTCTATTTCTACACAATGCCTGTGGCACTTAATATGTGCCACAGACATTGGGAAGGATGTGAACAGGAAGCTCCTTATGACGGGGAATTGGGCAAGAGAGATATGGGACAGATCGATAGATGCTCCCGAAATCGGGTAGTTGCAGGGCAGAGATGGGGGTGGGGGGTTAATTCTTCAGTTCCAGTGAAGCCCAAGTCTCTATAGAATCATTATTTCTAAAAAGGAGCAATGGCTTGTCATGTCTGTCTTTGCGGAGACCTGAAACTTTTATATGGGTGTGCAGTGAAATCAAGAGAGAAATGGCTTGCATTTTGGTCACGCAGCCAGTGTGGGTCCAGTTACTGATTTCAGTTATTAGCCAACATACTGACGTGAAACCTTTGGAACCTGCAGCAAGACAAGCAACTTGCTGCTGTGGAAACTGGATTGTGCAGTGATGGTTTCCAGTCTTCCCTCTACCACGAGAAGGATTTCTCATGCAAAAACTTTGGGAAGGAACGGATAGCTTCTAATGAACCTGACATTTGATCTAGCTTTCCATGAAGCCTCGAGTGTCAGATGGACAGTGTGAACTTTCTAGATTGTTGTTTATGATGTGAATGCCAAAAAAAAGGCGCATGGCAGGCTTTTAATAGGTGCCAAGGTAAAAAGTTGGTTAGCAAAAAATGCCAATTGAAATGTATTAAAAATTATTATTACTTCCTATATCAAATGCATTTAAATTTTAGTGTAATGTCCTCATGGACATATTTGGTAACTGTGTAGAAAAGCATGGATCAAACTCCTAATTAAGTGGTTTTTCATAGGCAGGCAGATGTATGTGGTGCTTAAATGATGTTTTCTGCCCAGGCACAATAGCTGATTTTAGGCAAGCAGGCACATGAGGATCAAAACTGCTTGGCTCCTGCAGGGGTGAGGGGGTGGGAGAATGCCTCTAGCCAGCTTAAAGGCTACCACGTGTGCACGCGCGCGCGCTCGCTCGCGCTCTCTCTCTCTCTCTCAAGGCTGAGGATTGCCTTGCATTCCAGCAGCATGGTGCTGTTCACTCCATAATTAAACTATTAGGACTACTTTGGTTTCTAGGCCAGCTATTGTGAACCAAGAGTTTTCTCTTAAAATAAAGCTGGCTGCAGCAAGAATTGAGCAGCCATTTGTTCATTTTCTGTAGCAGGTCCTGTTTTCCCTTGGTTACTTTTTTTTTTCTCCCAGTGGATACAAACAATCCTAGACTAACTGAAAATGAGTCGATATATTTAGTTTAATTTGCAACCAGACTCTTAAAAGGGATTTCCATTGTGGTACAAGGTGTTGTTTTTAGGGGGGGGATGCTCTTTTTGTGTTTTTGGTTCACCCCACTCCCTCTCAGTTATTAGCATACTAAACTACTGTAATGTAATGCAATGATAGAAAGAAACTCAAGACAGAGTTTCTGCATGTGCTGTTTTCTAGAGCGGTGGTTTTCAGTCTCTTTTCATTTGCAGACCCCTAAGTTTTAAATGGAGGTGCAGACCCCTTTCAAAATTTTGAATGGAGGTGTTAGTCACCTTAGGAATACCCACACCTACAATTCAAATATTTTTGATCATAGTCCTCTTTTGCATACCCCTTAGACATAAGCTACAGACCCCAGTTAGAAAACCACTGATTTAGAGATCCAAAATAAACTAAGAGCTAGGGCACACTCAGTGGACTTTTTAGTTGCACACAACATAAGGCCCTGTCCCTCAAAAAGCCATTGCAAAATGTATTTTTTAAAAATGTTGTTAGGGGTGAGTTACCATTGTTCTGGTTAAAATACCAAGCCACAGCTTGAGTGAACTATCCTAACACTTTGGGGGGGGTGGGAAGAGTTGACTAATGCTTCACAGGAAACAAAATGGTAAAGAACTGCAATTTTTTTTTTTTTTTTTTTTTAAGTACAGGAGGGGGTTGCACAGGACTTCAGAGGTTCTTCAGTTTCTGGAAGGTCAACCTTGATTGGTGTACTGTTCTGTTATTTGTATGAGATCACTAGTCATCTGTCTGTAAAGAATGTATAGACTGAATTTTTGTACTAATCTAGAATCTTACCTCTTAAGGGCAGTACATGAGCACCCCCTGTGTGCTACCTGAATGTTGGGCATGCCAAGCAGGCTGAGCAGGAGCCTCAAGATTTCTCAGATTACAAATGACATGACTGGAAAATATAAAAGGAGAGAAACTTGTGAAACTTCAAGCTACCTCAAACTTTGGCAATGTTACAACGTTGGCTGGAAAACCACCTCTGCTGTGATTCCCAAACATTCAATACCTATGCCCTATGTAGATAGTGGTTGGAAAACATTTAATAATGGGATGAAGTGCACGTTGTTATACTATATCTGCCTCCTGTGTCTAGCTCTGTTCTTTGACTGCAACTTCTTCCAGGATATTTTTTCTTTGGTAGGGTAATGGGGTTGAAACGTGGTATTACTGCAGTAAAGTTTTGCAGTGTTGCACGTTGCTCTGAGCTACTGCACTTCTACAGCAAGCTACCCTGCTGATTCCACCCCAGGAAGTGACCAAAGCTCAGGGTTTCAAAAATGAAGAAGCCTGAAATAAAAACACTTCTCTCTAGAGCCCCACTGTTAAAACAGGCTTGTGCTTTTTACGCAATGCTCGGTTAACTTGTAGAATTCATTGCCCCAAGAGGTGGTGCAGGCAGAGGGCAGATCCAGGTTCAAAAAGGGAGTGGATAAATTAACGGGTGACAGCTCTATTAATGGTTATTGAACAGAATGGCTGGGGCTGCCACAGAAAATGGCTCTAAACCAATGGTGGTTGCCTGGGAGGGTACCGAATAGGGAACAAATCACTAAAGATATGTGGTTCAGTGTTTGCCCTTTCTCTACGTATTCTCATATGGCAAGAGTAGGTAAGAGAACCAACTCTGCAGCCAGAAAAAAATGAAACTAGTGAAATCTGGTTACTTAGTCATAGGATAACTCATCACTATAGTCTTTATTAGTTAGTGGACTAAATCCTTGCCCGAGTCCTATCAACTTGTATACAAAACACTTCAACTAACGTGCCATGTTAAAGTGTAATTATTAGTCGCTTCCAAATGTGCATACAGCATAAATCACAATGGAATTCATTCCTGATGCATAGGCTTCAAAGATGACCTCCACAACATCTTTAAGGTCAGCTGATGCTTGCAAAGTCTTGAATACTCTTCAGCAGCCTTTCTTGGCTCAACAAGACACGAGACCATCAACTGTTCCATCCGGAAGAATTACTTTCTATCTTGGTCAGGAGTGGAAAGTAAAAATCTTTATTTTATGCTTGTGAGTACACGGATCTTATACAGTGAGCATTCTGAATTTTTGTAATAAAAAGCATTACATTAGGCACTTATCTGTATAATCTTCCAATCCTCATAAACCAGCCAGAATGCCTGCAATTTGCACTTGGAATATTTGTGACATATTTTTGTGATACATTTTTTTCTTTGTTATAAATGTCAAAAATCATTCTTTACTGCATCTCAAAAGTGAAAGACTAACTATGGATAATTAGTCATTACCCAGCCCCTCTGAGTGACAAATTAATCATATTTTCCTGCGAGGCAATGAGCATGTCTTCCTAGTTGCATCAGCCAATCAGTGGCACTCACAAGGCACAGTAATGCGGCATGAGCAGTGTAAATTATGTATGAAGCGAAGTTGCATCCATTTGCCTTTTAAATGGGACAGAAAATAAGTGTAATTTAAAACCTAGAGGCAGCTGGAGATTAACCAAGAAAGCAAGTAACAATTGAGTCCAGGATAAAGAACAAGAGGGCATCCTGGATATCAATGAAGAAAACAGGTTCACCATCCAAATCTATTATAGATGCTGACAGGGTCCTTCTCATGGTAGTATTTGAGGTCCTGAACACGCTACGTGCCCCATTACCCTACACTGATAAGCATCAATCTGCTTTGCATTGGCATAAACAAGGAAGATGCACACAATGTATATCCTTATACCAGTAAAACTGGCTAGAAATCGGGTTAAACCTCAGAAAATTGCAATACAGGTAAACTGAGTAAAGTTACACCACCGTAGCTACTATGTGTCTACATCTAGTGGCAAGCTGCTGTAATAGGTCTGGCCTCCGGTGAGCTGGTCATCTGTCTGCTTCGGACACTGGTTTAATTTCCATCAGTGTACAAAATGACACAAATTACATTAATGCTAATGGCTCGTGTCCAGGCCCTCAATATCTCATAAATATGGATGCATTTCTCCACATATCTTCAAATATATAAAGAGCAATTAACAAGAACATGGAGACAGACTTTTCTGTGGCTGTAGGGGACAGGACTAGGAGCAACTGCTTCAAACTGCAGCAGAGGAAATTTAGCTTGGCAATCAGGAGGAACTTTCTGACTATGAGGACGGTCAAGCCCTGGAATGGGCTACCTACAGGAATTGTGGAATCTCAATCTTTGCCAGTTTTCAAGAGTGGGTTTGACAGACACTTGGCTGGGATGGTTTAGTCAGGGATGATCCTGCCTCAAGAAGGGGGCTGGACTAGATGACCTCATGTGGTCCCTGTTGTTCTAAGATCCTACAGCACTTTACATACTGGGCTATCTCCATTTTTACAGATGGGAAACTGAGGTACAGGGCAGGTTTACCCCAAATCATGTAAGAAACCTGTGGCCCTACTGAATCGAATTCCAATGCCCTATATCAGTGGTGCTCCACCTACAGCCCACAGGCTTGATCAGGCCCTCAAAGTGATTGGATCACCAGCATGGGGAATCAGCAGCAAGCACCTTGGCCTAGCAAGTCCCCTTCTGTGCCTTGTGTTGTGTTGCTGAACCCCTGTGGTGCTGGAGGTAAGTGTTGTGATCATTATGTTTGTTAAGTGGCCATGTTCGCCAATCAGAAAAGTTATACAAAGTTATGTAACGGTTGCTAGGCAGACTACAGTTGCCTTTCTGCCACGAGTGTAAAAGATAGACAGCAGCTAGAACTTTCTACGAGGCGGGATCCAGCGTCAGTCAGTCAGTGCCATGGGCCTATCGAAAGGTGCCTCACACAATCACATCACCGCGTGTCACCCAAGCTATAAAAGGAGCCCCCGCCTGATCGTCAGGGTCCCTTCTGCGTCCAACGGACTCGGAACGATTCACGGCATATTATTACGGGCACGGCTCGGCCTTCGGAGTAGCTAACCGGAGGAGGACGCAGAGACCCGCCTGATCCCGGCGACCTGAAACCCCTGAGACAACTCACCAGCCAGATCCATCGGTCTCACGCACCATTAGGGTGCGCGAGGCGTGGTGAGTGAGTTTAAGCTGCTGCGCAGCTACGTTAACAGTTATCAATAAAGATCACCAAGCCTGTTCCCTGTCCTCCCGACTCCTCGTGATCTGTGGCAAGACCGACCGAGAAAAGATCCTGTCACAGTAAGCTCTCTTCCTCCTTTCCCCTTCTCCTTCCTTTGACATGGACAACCACCTCCATCCCCACCCCCGCCAAAAGGGAGTGGTGACCTATGGTTCAACCATGTCACAAGCGTACAGTCAGCTGCTCTACAAGGTTAAGCTCTACTGCCCTACGTACCAGACTGATAACAATGGGAAAAGAAACAGGCAGACGGGTGGGTGAAATGACCTGTCAAAGGTCACTGAGCAGCTTGGCAGAACCACAAAAAAATCCTTTGACCCGCATCACAATGCCCTATCCGCTAGACTGCTACTCTTTCCATCTGGATCTCTCTCTGTCTAGGTACCATATCCAAACAGGATGTTGGTGACCACTGTCTTCCACAGATCTTTTCTCTTTGACGCATACAGAATTTCCAGTGTCAAGACATTAATCCATTTAGGTAGACTCCTGATGGAAGTCAACCTCTGTCTTTCACAATCTCTCCTTCCTTCAATCTTTGCAGTTACTACCAGACTTTCAATTTCCTATTTCCTCATAATGTGTCCAAGAAACGCCAACTGTCTCTAATGTTAAACAACAGCTTCCTCTTGCAACCTGCTCTTAATAAAATACCTTCATTTGAAGTGTGACTTGTCCAACGTACCTTCAAGATGCGCCTTAAAAACCACATCTCAGTTGCTTCAATTCTCTTTTCCATACTTAGCGATATTATCCAGCATTCTGAGGCATACATGAGGACTGGTATAACCTAGCAATCCAAAACTCTTAACTTCATCCCCGTAGAAATTTTACTATTTATCGAGATCTTTTTCATTTTCAGAAATACATCTTTTGCCATCCCTATTCTCCATTTTATTTCTTGACCACACTTACCATCAGATGTTATCCAACTTCCCAAGTAGTTAAATGTATTGCCCTGCTTTATCTGTTCCTTTTGCACTTTGATGGTGCATACAGGAATGATCTTCTTTGTAATTACCATGCATTCTGGTTTTCTATAGTTGACACTTGGAGCCTTCTTCTCACTTTCACTACCAATTTTATCTAAGATTCCTTGCAGCTTCTCTTCTGGATCAACTATTAAGACTGTGTCATCAGCATAACACAAGTTGTTCAAATTCTGTTTGCCAATGACCAGCCGTGGTAAATCCTCAATCTCCCTCAGTATTTTCTCACTGTACAAGTTGAAAAAGTCAAGTGAAAAAAATTTAGCCTTTCCTTATGCCTCTCAATTTGGGTGAAAACGTTTAGTTCATTTTCAATCTTCACTGCTGCAGTTTGGTCCCAAAAAGAGGTTTCTTAAAATTCTCAAGTCTTTACCATCAATATCCAGTTCTTCGAGCATTTTCATTAATTCCTCATGCAGGAACCTATCGAAATCTTTGGTATAATCAATAAAACACAAGAAAAAGTCTTTCCTTGTTTCTGTTGCCTTCTCTGAAGGCATTCGTACTATTTCTCTTACCACGATCGTCAACAAAACCACACAGAACTTTTGCAATCTCCGGTTTTATTCTACTTGTTGCTCTCATCATCAGCACCTTCAATAGGATCTTTGTCACAGGGCTCATTAAACTGATGGAAGTTCACATTCAATGGCTTAAGGTCTTTTTGATCAATTTACTGAGGTCCTCAGGTATTTCTCCACTTCCAAAAATCTCATTGATAACAGTTGTTAACTTTTCTATACCAAACTCTTCCAAACAATTTATTTATTTGTTCTACTGCAATCTCAGCTTTATTGGTTTTCATTTGGTTGATAACTGTTCATACTTCTGACTTAAGAGTTTTCAAACCATTCACGTTCTTCTTAATAGATGGCTTGTCTTCTCAACTGTCGTGGAATAACTCTTCAATATACTCTGTCCATCTTTTCAATACTTGTTCTTGTTCCATAATTACATCACCATTCTTAGCGTTTATACATTCCCCTCCGGATCTCCGCGACAGTAAAGATCGGGAAGCATGCTCTATTCATACTTCCTGGAAATGAAGATCTGGAGACTGGGGCCCACGTCCTGAGTGAAGGACCTGACTTCTGAAATTACTGTCCCTCGGTGGGCTGATACAGCCTGAGGCTGCTGACTTCTATGGCAGCATTTACAAAGCATGAAGTATTCCGAACAGTGTTCTTCTGTAAAGCCTGTATCCTCAACCAAACTGCAACAGGTTAACCCGTTGCTACGCTGTGCCCCAGAAGTGAATAAACTTGAATGTACATGGTAAAGTCACTGCATTCATTTGTTAATTTCCTAAATGTGGATTTTTAACTATGCTTCTGGTGCTGCGTGTATTCCAAGTAGTACACTTCCTTCATCTTACCACCAAAAGCCTTTGGCGTTACAAAGACACAGTCTTATGTTTGTACAAGGTGGATAAAGCTACGGTTGTGTAACCTTGTCACCTTAGCTGTTTAGCAGGTCACATCATGGGCGACTGGTGCCTCCTGAGTCTGGGGGGGCACCAGACGGCTGATGGGGGGGTCCCCTACCGGCCGATCGCCAACTGGGGGTGGGGGGGAGGCAGCAACTGATCACCCAGCCAGTGGCAAAACCGGAAGTGCACTTCCAGTTCCATGGATGGTGCTTCCAAGGGGTGCACAACTAATCTCAGGGGGTGCACGTGCAGCCGTGTGCACCCCTTACGTGTCGCCAACGGGTCACATCTCTGTAGTGACACTTCTAGCTTTGCAACAACAATCTGACGCGGGGCACAAGATGGGGATCCTGCACCCATCTTCACCACATCCTTCCTGCGTGACCTCGGGTCCGCTGCTTCACCCTTTGCCAGGACGGTGGCACAGTCGGGCTGGAAGAGACCTCGCAGGGTCCCGTCGCTCAGTGGTTCTCAACCTTTCGCGCCGTACGTCCCACCAGCCGCTTTGTTCCATCACGATAAAAACAACCCCACTTTTTTTCCCCCTCCCAAGACGTGTATTTTTTACGTTGACAGGCGTCTCAGTACTCTGTTCATCCTCCATGCACTGAAGTCCCACCTCGACGACCTTCGCGTCCCCGGCCCTGCTCTATAGCCCAACCCCTGGCTCAAGGCAGGGCCGCCCCTGGCTCAACTATCCTGTCCAACCCTATCTT